GAAGATGTACCCCCCATTTCTGTAACCTGCTCTAAATGTATATAAGAAAACCCCCTTTGCTCTCAGGGCTCAGCCTTTGGATGCGAATCCGCTGAGTTACTGTTGGCCTGCTTAATAAACTTGCTTCCCGAAAGCTTTGGTGTCCCGTCTCTCTGAGCCCTCCTGCAATAAGATGAGTTAAATGTTCCAACAGTACAGATGAATAAACATTCCTCATTACATGCCACTAGTCAAGATGTGACCCAGTGCTCTCTCTGTCAAATAAAGAACCAAAGAGTCTTTATATAATAAAACCACCAACTTCAAATCATTAAGAAAAAACACGGGGGTGGGAGTAAGTGAAGGGGAGTTGGCATAAGGAAGAAGCACGTGTCAGCATAATTAACGCAGTACAGACAGTTCACCTTAAATGTCTGCTCTTCTAAGTAACTTAATGACTCCAAAGTCAGTAAGAGCAAGATTTGTTCCCGGTAATTCAGACCAAGCCTGTACTTCCAACCTCCTAGTATGGAGTTAGTATGACAGCAACATATACTCCACTATGAAAACTCAGGAAATAGTTTCATTAAGGAATCAAAATACACAATTTTAGTCCAGACAATTTTTGCCACCCCTAAACCTTTTTTTCCCATTAGATGGCAGTGTGAACTCAGCATTAGACCTAAACAGGGCTAGCCCAGGCATGTGACTGGGTAGACAAATCAGCATTCCCTTCCATGAGAATGGTCTGCAGTAATGCACCTGCAGCCTGGGAAGAACATTTTAGCCCAGACAGTAGTGAGGCCCGGCTGCAGTTGCGGTGCTGTTTGCAGTGTGGGGAACAGGTTTACTTGATTTGGAGGATGGAAGCAGGAAGAGGGAAGTGCTCACATAGTAAAATGGGCTTGTGTAGTTCTTTCTGTGTGTATATTATTTACTCACTTATTTTATTGTTAATTTTTAGCATCACTGTTTATACTTTGTTGAGTTTGTTTTTGGTTATTTCTTTTTTTTTTTTTTAATGTGCCACAGTTTCTGGATTATGCACTACATCACAGCTACAAATCTACATTCTCAAAATTCTAAGGGTGAATGCAAGGCTCTTCTCTTCTACACCTCCTACTAAGAATTATCTTGCTGTCACCTTTACTCTTTTTAAAGGTAACTTTCTAACTGTAGTAGGAAATTTGTCACTTTACTTTCTGTTGGAAAGCTAAACTGATTACAAGAAAATTAGATGGATATGTCCATAAAACTCATGTAGAAAATAAAACATTATTAGTGATGCCTCAACTAAGCACTCTAGACAGCCCATTCCCAGGTCATAACTCACAAAAAAGTTGGAGGTCATATAAAAACGAGGCAAAAACTCCATTGTTCTGCCCCCATTCCCAGTCATGTACATCTCTAAGACATTACTTATAAATATTCTCTTGTTGGGCAAATGAGTTTTTTTCAAGAAATAAATTTAGTGAAGGCTTTCACTTAATGTGAACCTGTTTTTACCTTCTTTGTTGGTTTAAATAGTCTGTCTCTATTACAACTGAAGCCATGTGAAAACATATATACTTGTGACAATCCAGCATAATAAATCAGAAATACAGACCTTTTACAAGCAATCTATCTCAATTCAAAGTGAAGTTATTTTTTCAGTGCAATTAGTAATAATTATTTTATAAGTATCACGGCACCATGTGTGCAACAACAACAGTTAAAAATTTAGGAATACGAAGGACTTTTAACAGTCAAAGGTGGCCAATAAACGCCAGTTGTTAAAGCTTGTGGATTGAAAAAGGACAGCATGCATGCTGGATTCACCAGTAAAATATTTATTAAACCCTGACTCATCCAAAGAGTAACAAGGAAACTACATTGTGTTACTCTCACTTGCTGTTTCAGATTCAGATGAACCAGCCACAGGCTGCAGGCCTCCTCACTGTTCTACTTTGCATACTTGGATCAGGCTGTAGAGAATTTCCATAAACACTCACGTGGCAATTACCAGAGCTGATTAATCTTACAAAGACTGCCTCCCCACATTAATCTGATAATTCATCAGTATTACAGTAGATTATTTTATAATAAGCAGTTGTAATTCTTCAAACCTTCTTAATACCTTTCAACCAGCAAATACTATTAAACCCTGTTGGTTCTTTATTTAATGATGTTTTCAAAAATTAAGGCCTTCCCAGCCTTTCAATTATAAAAGAAATAATATTCATAAAAAACAGAAACAAAAGACAGCAAGGATTTTAACACAAAAGGAACACCATTCTCTACAGAAACAAAAGCTTTTAATTTTCAAAATATTGAGTGGTTGGAAAATAAAATCCACACCAATATTTTACAGTCTGCATTTTCTTTCATTTTTCTCTTTTGTTTAAAGCAAGATTTCTTGAGTAGCTCATGAATAACACACATTTAGTATGTGCAGGGCCATGGGTTCGAACTCTAGCACCACCAAAAAAAAAAAAAAAGATTTTTCTTTCTGAGGTAAAGAAATTCAATAAAATGAATGTAGCTATCTTGGCGGTAACTTTATTTAAGACCAAAAAAAAAAAAAAACCTGGAAAAGCACTTTTTTTCTGGCCAAAAACCATTCTCTCCCGTTTCTACCCTCAGTTTTCATTTTCTTGCTTGTTGGCATCTCTATTCTCACATCCTTTTGACAGAAAAGATTCCAAAGACTCTTAAAAAAAAAAAATTCGTGGGTGTCCCTTCCCATGCAGAGCCCCAGGAGTGATCGCGAACATGATGGGTCTGTCTGTGCCTTTTTCTATGGCTGGCAGAGGGAGAAGAGAGTGGGGGCTGATGATGCTAGGATTCTGTCCACAGAGCACAGGGCAGGTGAAGGGCAAGTGCTTCCTACCCAGCTGGCTCAGTGCCTGCTGGCATTCCTCACACCTATTACTTCTCCCTGAACTTTCCTTTGAACGTTTTAGCATATTTTTATTCTCCCAATAATTAATGAATTAACCAAAGCTGTTATAATCTATTAATTTTATGTTTGTATGAGTCATTTTTTATCTTTCAAAAATTGTTCCTTAACATCTCACATTATTCCATGGCTGAGCAAATATGAAACTTAAGTAACAACTTAAAAATCAGTTACTATTACCCCATTAAGTACTTCTTGAATAAATATATAAATTGCTAATTTTAAATCTAAATATAATTAAACTCTGTAAACTTAAATCATTGAAGAGATTCCTTTCCTAAATGCTAGAGCTATAAGAGGTATATGGGCAAGAAGAGCATTATAGTGAGCAACACTGAAGAGGCACAGGCTCAACTGTCCACACTCGCTGAGTCCTCACAGCAACCCTAAGAAACAGTATTCCTTTTTGTACCTGAGGAAAAGGGGCCACCAGACATTAAGTAACTTGCTCAATCATCCTACTAGTAAGTAGTAGTTCCCAGTTCAAATCAACAGAGTTCGGCTCCAGGACACACTAAGCCGCCTCCAAAAGAAGAAAGAATTCTTAAGCACTTGCAGTGTCATCATTCCTTACTGCCATTACGGCCTTTCAAGAGGATATCCCGAAACAGAGTAAAAAAAGTGCTGCAAGAAATGGGTCAAGCCAAACCTCTCTATGAGTAGCGCACTAATGGGAATAATAAAGATAATCAGAGGTATGGGGACATGAGACAAAAAAGAATATATAAGTAAGGGAGAGCTACAGCCAAAATAAAAGTGCAGGATGTCAGGTTCTTGACAATAAAGTACTGACTGAATCCTGACTTGATTCGTCCACCTGCATCTCTTGCAAGCGAAGGTCCTCCTGCTCTACACTTTCTGCAACAGCCTTAGAAAGAAGCTGGCTTTCAGGAGTTTGGACACAGGCCCTTAGTGTCTATCCATGCTTGATAGTGTGCTTAAGTACATCCCTGGCTATTAACGTTCTTTTATGGGCTCTCTTAATCTTTAAAGTTATTTTATAGGACCCCAAAATCCTTGAAACAGTTCTAGGGACTGCCAAAGTACTTCGAAGATGCTACTAGACTGGGTCTGTCACTAAAATGGTTAGCTTTTAGCTCACTAAAAGCTGCTAAGCCACAGGCTTTTCAACATAGTATTATCTTCCAAAGACAGACCCAGGCCTCCTGCTCAGCAGGGCAAACCATAGTTGTTAAAACACAACTTGGAATTTGAAGTACTAATGATCCTCAAGTGTAGACTTTGAAGGTTACATGTTAAAAGATCAGAGAAAATTTTCCCCATTCATAGAAAACCCAAATAAAGCTACGGTTAAAGTTTTAATGAACTTTATGAGTATTATGAAGCAACACTCAGTATACAGCTCCAAAATTATAATCACTGATGCTAGAGAATAAATTAGACTTTTTAATATGTTAGATTAATTGTTTACAATATAAGGATAAAAGCACTCATTATGAAAGTGAATAAAACACCATGCTTGGGATTATTCCAGATTTGGTCACAAAACAAGATTTAAATTACCTGGTACAATTTCTGATGAGTAAAGTTAAATACGTCTATTAAGAATTATAGGCAGAGAGTATAAACAAAATGAAAGACAACTTATTCTAAAGTATTCCAGAAAAACAAGAAATACTGCCTGAATATTTAATCTTACCAACTTTAAACAATATATTAATGTTCAATACCATTAAAAGTATACTTAGGGTTGGGAGTGTAGCTAAGTGTAAAGTGCTTGCTAGCATGTGCAAGGTCCTGGGTTCAATCCCCAACACCAAAACAACAACAACAAAAAAGATGTTATTAAATTTCAAGACATTTCTTTTTCACAAATGCAAATTCAAAAAAAAGGAAGAGTAAATAAAGTATTTTCACCAAAAGTTTGAACTATTGCAACTCTTGCCCACAACAAACCTGACCAAGCTTCAAAAATAACACCTCTCTCCAAACAACTAAGCTGCTTTCAGTAGTAGTCCCCGGACATTTCTGTACTTGGATTCTCTTCACTGTAAGTATATAAAGCTTTTGCAAATGAAAAGCAAATACAACGAAAGGTAATGATGGTACTCACTTTTCAATTTCAATGCCAAGAGGGTTCGCAGGGCGGAAGGACAAAGAGGAATTCCTTGTTCCTGTCAGTACGCATGTCATAATAATTCATTTCATCAACCACACAAGCAGACTGGTCCAGAATACCTGCAAAAGTGAGGAGCACAGCCTCAATAAGATAAGACTCCAACAACAGAAAACTTTACATCTTGTTACATTGCTTTATTTTTTTAAAGCCTGGTACAAAATGCCTAAGAGATGAGAGCACTGCAGTTCAGATGATTTTAATGGCCAGTAGCTTAATTAAAAATACTAAGAATCTATAAAAAAGACAGTAGCAGGCTTGATGGAATGGCTCAACTTAGAGCACCCACCTACCAAGTTTGAAGCCCTGAGTTCAAACCTCAGTACCAAAATAAAAGGATGACAGCAACACCTCTTGGGTTATGGTTTCACTATACATTACTCAATAGGGAAGACAAAGTAAACCTCTGAGAAAATGTTCTGCAAAAAAAAAATGTTTGCACATAACAAACACAATTAATTATGCATCATTAAGTGTTACTAAACTGGCAATAAAATTCAGAAAATTAGTATATAGATATAATGATATGAACTATGATATCTGCTTATTCAAAAGAATATGCTGAAATATATAAACGTTTGGAAAATCACTAGAAATACCTAGACAAAAAACATTGAAGTTAAGCTTTAACCTCTGAAAAAGGGATCCTCCTTATCACCCAATTCAACACAGGACATATGTGCTACCACTCCAGGACCACTGCACTGAGCTGTTACAGAATGTGAGCAGAGTCAAGGAGCTAGAAGAGGTGTGCCAACCTCCCGGGGAGATTGGAAGAAGGCTATTCAATAGCAGGCATCATGTAGCTACATAACCTTTGTGAACAAACCTCTAATTCATACCCACAGTTTTGCCTGGGTGCAGCTCTGTCTGAGGCTATACTCAACCCAAACGCTCTGGCACTCAGGTCAATAAGTCAAATGTGTGTACTACACACTAGGTCCTGGGTGGGATGATTTAGAATAAAATGACTATGTTACCTATATTTTCTTATCTGCTATATAAACATATTATAAAATAATGGTGGAGTTTATCAAAATGTTTTAAGTTTCTTCTAAAAATTATAAGGTAGTTCCTGCTTTAACTTCATAGTTCAGTTTTTCAAGATGTTAAAAAAATAAGTAAATAAAAATAGGAATATTATATTTATATACATACACATTTTCCATTTACATATGTACATATACACAAATTCAACTTTAAATTTTCCTTTAAATTCTTAATGTCTAATTTATTAAAAAAAAAAAAAAAAACAGCTGGGTGCAGGGCTCACTCCTGTAATCCTAGGTACTTGAGAGACTGAGATTGGAGGATGCAGTTCGAGGCCAGTCTTGGCAAATAGCTTGTAAGACTCTATCTCCAAAATAACCAAAGCGAAAATGGGTTGAGGTGTGGCTCAAGCAGTAGAGTAGGAATTTGTAGAAGATAATGCTGCAGAAAGCTTCTATGCTCTAAGGTGAAAATAAAAACTGTCTGCAAAATTCTTTACTTTTCTATATAATGAGAACTATTGCCAAAGTTAATTATACCTATGATGTTTCCTATGTTGCACAAATATTTGCTTACTTGTGTATTTTGAAGGACATTACAAGGTTGAAAGGGAATCTAACATTACTCTTATTTGTAGGGAAGACAGGAATGCACAGAAGTAACTATGAGAATAATGTAATTGCGTGAGGGTGTGCTAGCATTTGAACTCAAGGCAATGCTCTTAAAGCAGTGCCATTATCCTCAAATCAAAGAAGCAAAAATGGTGCACCAAAACACTAGATGAAAAGATTTGTTACTACAGAAAAAGGATGATTCTTCATGGTCATCCTCCTTAGGCTTGACTGTCAGCTCAGCAAATCACCATATCAAAAATAAATTCTAACCAGCATCTCATTTCGCTCAAAATAAACACACTGCATCTAAGTTACATGAGAGTGAGTAAATTTTATACAAATCTACCAGTTTTAAATTTTTAAGGACAATGCTCTCCTCAGCAGCAAATGTACTAAAAATTGAAAACAATACAGAGAAGATTAGCATGGCCCCTGTGCAAGGATGACATGCAAATTAGTGAAGCATTCCATTTTTTTTACAAGGAAAGGGTGTAGGAGGGGAATATGTAGAAAATTATGTACTCATGTTATGAAAATGGAAAAATGAGACCTGTTGAACCTAATTCCAGGAATGGGAGAGAGGGAATAAAGGAGAATGAATGATGGAGGGGGTGGATTCAACTATGATTTTTGTAAGAACTTTGGTAAATGTCACGATGTACCCCCAGAACAATAATAAAATAAATAAAATTTTAAAAACAAACTATTTTTATTTTCTTCCTTAGAATGAAGTCATTAAGAGTTTTACCTATTTTTTCAGGTTTCAGTAGCTTGAAAGAGACTGTTGAGGTTCCTTTGCCACCTGACTTGGTTGTGACAATAATGTCTCCTTTGTCATTTTTTGCTTGTCCCACTCGACATACTATTTTACTCGCAGACATCCATTCTGCAGTCAAGAGGCAGTTATGTCCACAAATTGTCAAGCCTGAAAATAAAAGCATGCATAGAACAAAGTTCAAAGAACAATGATGAGACCTTAAACATGTCTATTACAAGAAAGAAGAATCCAGAAATAACATTTTCTTATTTAGCAGCTATTTTTATTATTGAATATTCCTAATGGTATTTGCAAATGTTCTGCCAGCTCTATTGATTCTTTCCCAATTTGTTTTTTGTTTCTTCAAATAACAGCAGAATTAGAAATCAATGGACCATGTCACGTATTCCATATTATTTAGGCTATGAGAATCTTAAATTATTTTCAAAAGTGTTAGAAGAAAAATTATTGGTATTATTAGAAGTTTAAGTTATTGACATAGGGTTTTTAAATGTATTAATAAGTTTATAGATTGTTCCCAAAAATATTCTATATTCAGCCAGCTTCCTGAAAAAAATCAGTATGAGTTTTTTTCCAGTGTTTAATTATACATGTTGTTACAAAATGAACTAAAGTGGGCATTTTATTTATTTTAAGCATAGCCTAGAGTATGCAAGTCCAGTGAAATGTTCTCAGCATTGCAGGATTACTATCTCATTTCTTGAATCTGTGCATCAGTTCCTAGAATGGTAGTTCATGCTGCCTTAGTATTTTCCTAATAAAACTGTCCCTATACTATTCTTCCACTGTTGTGTTCTTCCAGTAAGTAAACCAGCATGCCCCAAAGATCAACTCCTGTCCATCACCTTCCTCTCTGATAGGAGGTAAAATAAAATTTAGCAATAACCAAATGGAGAGGCACTGAAAGATTATAGTTAAGTGAGGCACAGCCCTGGACAAAGAATGAAGATAATACCACACTGCCAGCTGGTCTTCAAACTTGCTCCCTTAGCATTTTTAATTTCTACAAAACAGAGACCAATGTGATCAAAACCAGAACATGTTATGTCACAGACCTAGCCACTTCACTTTTCTTTTTTCATTATTTAACTTTGCATACATTCAGCCCTTAAATTTGACAACTGCAATTTGTTTTGTTTTGTTTTGTTTTTCAGATACCATGAACAGTTCAACTCATGGCAAATTTGGTTTTAAAAATGGGGGGAGAGGCAGGTTGGGTGACACATCTAAAATCCTAGTTACTCAGAAGGCAAAGATCAAGAGGAACAAGCTTCAAAAGAAGAAATTCAAATGGCCAAAAAACACATGAAAAAATGCTCACCATCTCTAGTAATAAAGGAAATGCAAACTAAAACCACACTAAGATTCCACCTCACCCCTGTTAGAATAGCCATCATTAGCAACACCACCAACAGGTGTTGGTGAGGATGCAGGGAAAAAGGAACCCTCTTACACTGTTGGTGGGAATGTAAACTAATACAACCACTGTGGAAAAAAATTTTGAGGCTACTTAAAAAGCTAAACATTGATCTACCATTTGATCCAGCAATACCACTCTTGGGGATATACCCAAAAGACTGTGACACAGGTTACTCCAGAGGCACCTGCACACCCATGTTTATTGCGGCACTATTCACAATAGCCAAGTTATGGAAATAGCCAAGATGCCCCACTACTGACGAATGGATCAAGAAAATGTGGTATCTACACACAATGGAATTTTATGCAGCCATGAAGAAGAACGAAATGTTATCATTCGCTGGTAAATGGATGGAATTGGAGAACATCATTCTGAGTGAGGTTAGCCTGGCCCAAAAGACCAAAAATCGTATGTTCTCCCTCATATGTGGACATTAGATCAAGGGCAAAAACACAACAAGGGGATTGGACTTTGAGCACATGATAAAAGCAAGAGCACACAAGGGAGGGGTGAGGATAGGTAAGACACCTAAAAAATTAGCTAGCATTTGTTGCCCTCAACGCAGAGAAACTAAAGCAGATACCTTAAAAGCAACTGAGGCCAATAGGAAAAGGGGACCAGGAACTAGAGAAAAGGTTAGATCAAAAAGAATTAACCTAGAAGGTAACACACACGCACAGGAAATTAATGTGAGTCAACTCTGCATAGCTATCTTATCTCAACCAGCAAAAACCCTCGTTCCTTCCTATTATTGCTTATACTCTCTCTACAACAAAATTAGAGATAAGGGCAAAATAGTTTCTGCCGGGTATTGAGGTGGTGGGGGGGGAGAGAGAGGGGGCGGAGTGGGTGGTAAGGGAGGGAGGTGGGGGCAGGGGGGAGAAATGACCCAAGCCTTGTATGCACATATGAATAATAAAACAATTAAAAAAAATAATTAAGAAAAACTGGAAAAAAAAAGAGGAATGAGCTTCAAAGCCAGCCACTGCAAAAAATATAGACTCCATCTCAACCAATGATTGAATGCAGTGATGCGTGCCTGTCATCTCAGCCATATGGGGAAGGAAGGCCGGCTTGAGCATAAACATGAGATCCTATTCAAAAAAATAATTAAAGCAAAAAGGGCTGTGGGTGTAGCTCAAGTAGAGCACCTGTCTGGCAAGTGCAAGACCCTAAGTTCAAACCCTACTACTACCAAAAAAAATTTATTCCTAATATAAATTCTATACTAGAGAATAATCCCATGATTAAACAGAGGCATCCAGAACTGTACAAGGCACTGAACTACCCTCAAACACTGTTCATTCATCAGCTCATAGTTGTTTTCAAGGTTCCTCTGATTTAATACCTAATTTGCATTTTTGCTCCAATGATTAATAACCAGTACATAATTTAAACAGATTCCAACAGATCATTTTGAATGTCATGAAATAAAAATAAGACCGTAATACCTGTTTCTCCACTTCTTACACACAGTTTTTGCTTATGTACTGAAAGCTGAGAAATCTGCTTCATGAAATACAATAGCATCTTTTTTTGAAAAAAAAGTAACTTGTAAAATTCCAAGTAAAGTACTTTTTTTAGAGTGTTTTACTTGGCCAGTGTAGGTATCATCTGATTTTAAAACACTTAAATTATTTAGCAGGTTAAATTTGCTTTTTTAAAAAGTGGTTTATTGGCAATACATAAGGGAGGTTGAAAGCTGAACTAGCAAGTTTTATGAAAACAATATACACTTGCTCAAATAAGAATAGTATTGCCTGAAGCTGGCACAAGATTGAAACTTAAACTAGTAACTATTATGTTTTGGCACCATAGTAACTACCAGTTAAAAAATTTTAGACACAAAATCCATCTATCAGGTATATTTCCATGCATTTTGGGATTTTTTTTCCCATTTGGATAAAGACATATTGAGATTGAGCTATGTCAAAAACCAAGACATAAGATTAGATAAGACTATCTGTGTAAAATAAATGTGAGTGTTTACTAAAGAATCAAAAACTATCACTGGAGAAAACAATATAAAATGAGTCATAATATATTTAAAGAAACTAGCAAAAAATAGCTGGGAAGCACAAAACTTAGCTATTAATTACAGTGCGGAGCTCCAATCACTTTCTCTAAAATAGTTTTCTGAATGGCCCCAGCACATTCTACCAACCAGCAGTTACAATACAGGAAAAGCAAGTCCAACTCATAATCTCCAGGATGCCACAGTGGGTTCCCATCAGGTAAGAAGTGAGTTTAGAATAAATTGTATGTGGGAAGTCAGGAGCATACACAGGGCCTTTCCCTTTCTAATCCCTCATTTGTAGCTCACAAGAAATAATTGTAATCACCATAAAACTTCATCTAAAACTTGCTCTTTATCCCAACTCTCCCTGACACCCTTGTTTTTGGGTGGGACCAGGGCTTCTCTCTTGCAAAGCAGATGCTCTTCCACTTGAGCTGCACCTCCAGTCCATTTTGGTCTGGTTATTTTGGGGTTTTGGGGGGTTTTTTTAATTTATTTTTTTACCCTTTCCCCACATCTTCCCTCTTCCCAATGGTACCACCTCCTCACCTCAGGCAGGACCTGTTCCACACTCTTGTTCTCCGATTTTGTAAAACAAAAAAAAAAATGACATTTTTATTTGTTCAAGATAGTTATATAGGGAGTTTCCTTATGAAATTTCCATGTATATATGTATTATAACCCAAATTGTTTCACCTCTATTTTTTTTTCTTTCTACCTTAGTCCTCCTCTTATGGTGATTTCAACAGTTTAAAAAAGTCTACATTCATTCTTGTATAGAGAGTACATCAACCATATTCACCTTCTTAACTTCCTTCTTTTATCCTACCTATCTCGTATGTGATCTCCCCTTAGCGTGATCTGTTTTTCACAATATTGCTTATATGTGTATTAGGTCTATATTCCACATATGAGAGAAAACATCCAGCTTTTGGCCTAGTCTGGTTATTTGGGAGCTAGGATCTCTCTCAAACTATTTGCCCAGGTTGGCCTCAAACCAAAATCATCCCAATCTCAGCCTCCCAAGTAGCCAGAATCACAGGCATGAGCCACTGGCACCCAATTCCATTTATATTTAAAAAAAAAAAAAATGTTTAGGCTACATCATTAGCAATCAATGCAGAAGACAGCAAAGTTGAGGAAATCTCAGTAGTGGGAAAGTTTCTGAAGGATTTCTTGGAACATGGTATAGACAAAATTTGGTAAAATAATGATTTTCACAGAAAAATCAGAAAACCAAGTAATCCATCTTTATCCACATCATTCTATAGAGATCACAGGGATGTTTTTCTGTCACCTTCACTGCTTAAAAAGCATGCCTCTTGCTTCAACAGCCAACTTAAAACTCCATTTGCCCCAGTGCAATAGTGCTGACCCTTACCGATGAGATCAATGGGGCCAATGCCCAGGTTCTCCCCTCGAATTGTGACCTTCGTCCATGGGATGCCTTCATTTGGAGAGATGCCTGTCACAAGGGGGGGTTGTTGGAATCGAGACATTGTGCTTTGTGCAGCAGACCAATGGACTAGTTACAGAAGCAATCTGTTCAAAGAAAGAAAAGAGGGTTAGTGCTGACTGAGATAAACACTGACTGAAAATACAAGAATGCCAGAACATCAGTATCAACATATAAAAAGTATCCATAAACATGTCATTCTGGATTTTTTAGCTGTCATTTAGCCTGCCTATCAACTAACATCTACTGACATTAAGTTCATTGAGGATACCAGTTAGTACTATGAGAAGTATATCAGAAAACTAAGCCCTTGATTCTAAGTGTTTCCAATGCAATGGCAGATAGAACCTAATTCACTAATTAGCTCCTTGCCTACACTGGCTGAATTCCAAATATGTAGTTGGAACTGTTCTACTCCCAAAGCTGTTTGAGGAAGATACTTTGATCAATTATGCTCATAAAAATTAAAATACATGTATATTTCCATAGTGTGTTGAATTTCACTGTTTTATGTACTTTATTTTATATTATGTAGTATAGCAACTCATAAAAATACAAAGTGTATTCAAATCAATACATTTGATTTTTTTATAACACCTAGGACATAGAACCACAGGCAGAAGTATGAGTTTGCTAAGTAGACAGATTAGGTAAGAGCACTTTGTGAGGTCAAATGTCAGACCTATGTTAAAAGCCCAGTGTTCCAATTTACTAAATTTGTCCTAACCATCTGGGTTTTGTACCTAAGATGAAACTAATAGAACCCATTTCATAAGGTATTGCAAAGGTCACATAAGTAGCCAATAAGAAAGCATGTCCCAAGCACATGGTAGGCAACTAATAAATAATAAGGCCTCACTAATAAACCCTGTATTGTTCTTAATAGCTCAGGGCTTGATGCCTCAGACAATAGGAAGAGGCTCATAAAAAACTGCACGAACTTGCTGGTTACCTGCACCATAAAAGACTGAGGAGTCTGCTACCCTGCCCCCTGCCCTCATTCCACAGTCAGGCAGGGGAGTAGAGATTTAGTCTCTGAAGAAACCAAATAAAAAGACCAGGGCTCAGGGAGCCCCAGCACAGGACAGCTGTGGGAGGGTTAGGGCAGGCTAAAATCAGGGATTAGTGTAACACTGGGTCAAACCAAGGGAGGAACTCCCCAGTCTCCTCTCCCTCCTGTTCTCACAGCACTGCCACCAGGTATATAAGCCTTTCCCACCCAGCTACATCAGGTCCAGACAAAAGAGCCCTAGGAACAAAGACACATGTCTCCCCCAAAAACAGAAGAACTACTTGCCCTCATATCACCTAATGGATAAGCCACAAATAGGCAAACTCTGCTCACATATAAGCAAAATCAAATCAGCTGTCAGGAGTCTCATTCTCAAATATAGAAGGACAACCAAAGACTCAATATAGTCAAGAAAAATATGCAAGGCAGAGATAGAAGACAGACAAAGAAGAACAAGATCCAGGACAAACAGATATTGCAAGTGTTATATGGACTGAATTGTGCCTTTCCCCTTCCCATTGGCAAAATTCATAGGTTGAAGTCTTAAAGTCCAGTACTTCAGAAAAGGGTTATATTTGGAGACAGAGCCTTTAAGGAGGTGATAAAAATAAAATAAATTCATCAGGGTTGGGTTGTAATCCAATCTGAATGGTGTCCTTATAAGAGGAAACTAAGACACAGACATAATTTAATTGCCTAAACCCCTTATCTGTGGTACTTTGTTATGAAGCCCTAGCAGTTGATACAGCAGCTAACAGAAAAAAAGGGGGGTAAAAACTAGAGAAGTATAAAATGTGATCACAAATTAATATCTGCTAAGAAGGAAAAGTTTTACCCTTGAAAGAAAAGGATATCATGAAAGAGAATCAATACAAAAATCAGAATTATTGAAACCTTCAAAAAATATTTTTAAAGTAAGATTTATATAGTCCTAATAATGTAGGAATTGACCATTGTTTAGCAAAGTTGTAATAAGGTTCAAATAGACAGACATGTTATATGGGGGACAGGGAAAAGGAGAGAAAAGGGAGAGAAAAAGGTTGTTTTTTCTCAATGCCTAAAAATTAACTATGAAGAAATTAGATGAAGAGTCTGAAAATGCGGAGATGAATGCCAGAAGGAGGACCCAATAATGTGGGCTATGCTGTATGAT